GTTGGTGGGGGTTTACAGTCTGGGGCGTATATAGTGAAGAGCGAGGGATCTTTTGTGAGCACCTTTTTAACATATTATAGTGTACGACGAGCTTTCTCGCACATCGAGATGCATCACAACAGACAGGCGTGCTACCAATTAACCAACGCCTGAGAGATGCACACCGGACAAAAGCAGCATGTATTAGTCTTAGATATTGAATTAATAAATGCATAAAATCTAGACTTTGGAAATTAAAGACGGAACACTATTTTGGTCACAAGGATGGAACAGAATTCAGAAGTCTTGTTTTTAAAAGCTAAACTGTTTTTATCTTGTTTAACTGTTATCATGTACAATGTTAATTATAATGCAAATAAAATAATGATATGCAAACAAAAACAATAATAGCCTGTCATTTTAGTGATTTCTTTATCTATTTAATGCTTTTGAATGATCTTCGTTTAGAGGTATCTTCATTTTTTCTGTAAATATTGATTGCAATATTTAATTATTTGTTATATTGAATCATTAGATCAAGTCAAATACAGACCTTCAACAGATTAACTGATTTATAACAGATTTATGTATTTAACCCTTTGTTTGCATATGCATTATTTGCAATCAGTTAATCAAATTACAATGCTTTTAATTGTTCGACTGCTCAAATACAGACAAAACTGCTCATCAGATTTATATTTATATCAGATTTACACATTTAACCCTTTGTTTGCATACCAACTTATTAGCAATTAGCTATTTAAATTACAAGTTATCCAATTACTGTTTTTAATTATTTATACAGCTCAAATACAGACTGTTTATCAGATCTATATTATATTAACATCAGATTTGCAAATTTAACCCTTTCCTATGATGCTGTCGGTTGGGACTCCGAACAAAAGTACAGGACCGACCACAAAATCAGAAGTTTCCTCTAAAAGCGCTGTGAGCCATGATGACTCCAGGACACTCATACATCACTACCTTTCAAAACACGAGTGTAGAGTTTCACCTTTGAAGCCACGCAGATCGAAGCGGCTGAGGAAGACCGCAGTAAAGAGATATAAAAGCACAGATCACTGGAGAGCCGAACACGCAATACCAGACACCTGTGCATGAGCCAAACACTCTCACATCTATTCAAGCTTTCAGAATAAATGAGTGTGATGAAGTAGAGCTAGACTGCAGGTTAACCATTTGCATGCATCTCTGGTACAACTTATGAGACGGTAAATCACCATTAACCACAGAAAATCCTTTTGAATCATCATCCTTCAGTTTGCACAAATTGGTTTTATAGTAATGCACTTACACTGGACATCTGTGGTGCAAGACACTGCATAGGACAAACATTCAAATGCACTCTTAAGATATAAATGTTATATATGTTAACATTACACTAACATCATGAAATCGCTTACTAACCTTGTTAAGTTCTCCAGGACTCTGTCACGATCACTTGAAGATGGTAAACCTGGTAACTTTCACTTGACACACAGAAGCAGAAAGGGACATGATGTCCACAAACTATCCTCAGAGGCATATCGGTTCAGTTGGCGGCCATCTTGGCAAAGTTGCTGTTCAAACTCAAAAAAAAATTCAAATTTGACTTCAAAAATCATACTTTAAATTGTGATTCTTATACTCAATCTAAATAAAATGCAGTTTCCATTGTGTGTGCGCATTACTTTAAACAACATTTGTCAATGTTAGTAATGCAAATAAAATGATGTGCAAACAAAAACGATATTTTGACATCTAAAGTCATTTTTGTAATTTTTATGATTTATCTTCATTTGGAGGCATCTTGATTTTTTTAAATAAATATTGTTTGCGTATTGAATTATTTGCAGTTAGTACTGAAATTCTAATTCAGTTGACAGGTAAAATACAGACAAATATGCTTATCTGATTTATATTATATTTATATCAGATTTACACATTTAACCCTTTGTTTGCATATTGATTAGTTTGCGATTAGTTAATCCAATTATAATTCAGTTGTTTTTATTTATTTATTGACGGTTCAAATACAGACCATCTGCATATCAGATTTATATTTAAACCAGATTTACACATTTAACCCTTTGTTTGCATTGTAAATTGTGTTATTAGTTCATCAAATTATAATTCAGTTATTTTTTTTAATTGACAGTTCAAAACTGAAACAGGTTTACATTATAATACACTTTTTTTTTTTTTTTATCTATGCAGACTGTCTTTTTCTATTTTTGTGACTTGCAGATCACCATTATGAGTATTTTATGCAAAAATCAACTGAAATGCAAAATTCAAGCTTTACATTTCTGCTATAAAACGGACTCACTGACTTCTACTGTAAGTGCATTGCTGTAAACACAATTTATGCGTTTTTACAAACCGAGAGCCAAGAAAATGCAAGCATGATGCTTGCAACAAAGTCATGGGTTCAAATCCCAAGAAATGCATAAAATGTACATCTTGAATGTGATGAAATGCAAAGTATCTGTCAAATGCATGAATGTGATTTTTGAGACAACTGCTGCACATAGACCAATTTTTCTACTTCTTTAACTATTTCTTTGTGATTTTATGAAGCGTTTGCTTCAGGGGAGAGCTCTTGTTCTTCAGTCTTTTCCATCTGACAAACCCGTCCTTATTGCCCTGGGACGCACACGATATAGGATTCCAGCCTCCTCATATGAATCAGTGGGTACTGAGAGAGGTCGTGACCTCTGAGGAACTGGCCAGCAGTGACCAGAACAAGAGAGACGGTCAGAAACGGCCCTCAGGGACACATTTGGATAGAGAGTTTCTCATGACACCGGGTCAAACCCTTCAGCTCGAGCTCACAGAAAACAACATATTAAAATTACAAGAGGAGTCTGTTGAAAGTTAGCTAGTCTTCCCTTACATTTTCGTGATTTTTTGCCCATGCATAACTAGATTTAACTCACCACCAAGATGCTCTGCAAAATCCACTAAATCCATCACAGAAATACTATTGTATATTTTATTTATGTGTTTATTTATTTTTAAGTCTCTTATGCTCACCGAGGCTGCATTTAATTGATCAAAAATCCAGTAAAATATTAATATTGTAAAATATTATTACAATTTAAAATAGCTGTTTTCTATTTAAATGTTAAAATGTAATTTATTCCCGTGATAAAAGCTGAATTTTCAGCATCATTACTCCAGTCTTCAGTGTCACATGATCTTCAGAAATCATTCTAATATGCTGATTTGCTGCTCAGGAAACATTTCTAATGATTGTGAATGTTGAAGACTTCATATTTTTGTGGAATTTTTTTTAACCATTCAGAAATTTGGGATTTGTAAGATAAAAAAGATTTAAATTAACACTTTTATTCATCAAGGATGCATTAACTCGATCAAAAGTGACAGTAAAGACATATTATAAAAGATTTTTTTCTATTCATCAAAAAATCCTGAACATTTTTTTATCATGTTTTCCACAAAAATATGAAGCAGCACAACTGTTCTCAGCATTTTTAATAATAGATCATGTTTTTAAAGCAGCAAATCAGCATATTAGAGTGATTTCTGAAGATCATGTGACACTGAAGACTGGAGTAATGATGCTGAAAATTCAGCTTTGCATCACAGGAATAAATTACATTTTAAAATATATTCCAATTGAAAACAGTTATTTAAAATTGTAATAATATTTCACAATTTTACTGTTGTTACTGAATTTGTAGTCAAATAAATGCAGCCTTGGTGAGAAAAAGAGTCTTATTTCAAACAAATAAAAAAAATATCGTAATTATTCCAAATTTTTGACCGGTATAGTAAAATAATCTTTCATAAATAATTGATAAAACTAAGCATTTCATTGTTTCAGGCAAGGATACGAACTATTGAGAATGTGAGATGTGAGATACTGTTAGTGCACATTGATTTGTTTTCTTTCTTGTCCTAAAGAGTGGAGTGAGTTTGACCGGTGGCGTGGGGTACAGGAGCGGGTCGTGACCTCTGTGACACGCCCCTCTGCCCTGCCATTGACCGGATACTCTCCAGTACAGCCCTTCTGATGACCGGCAGAGAAAGACCGCTATTGTTGGCTTTCATCGGCGTAATTGACTCATGAGCACCAGTCAGTGGTCTTTTTAAACACGCTCCGCTCATTTATCAACATCATGGAGCAAAAGTGACAGCAGGACGTCAGATAGAGTTTTCAACTAGTGATCCCAGACTTTCAGACCCCACTACATGTCATTTAAATATCAACTTTGTCTCATATGGAGAGATGAAAATCAATAGAGAGCTATGAATGAGTATAGCAACTCAGATAAAGCAAAATTCTCCTTATTTTCTGTGGGAGGCTTTTAATGGCCACAGACCAATGCATTTTGTGTAAGTCCTTGAGAGTTTTTGAGTCTTCATGGATTCATCATGGGGATCAAACTGGGGTGAGACGTGATTTGGACGGATGGGAAAATAGCAGCGATGCTGAACTTCACTCATGTAAACGACTGACTCACTGAAATAATGAGTCATTGACAGAGAAATGGATTCAGTGAATGTCATACAGCCATACACACACACACACACACACTTAATGAAAAACAGGAGCGACTATACACACACACACACACACACACACGACCGTACAAAAGTTTGGGGTCAAGATTTTTTGAAGGAATTAATATTTTACACAATAAATTGATCAAAAGTGACAGTACAGACATTTACAATGTCTTTTGATCTTTGTATTCATCCAAAAATTCAGAGAGAAAAAATTTATCAGTTTCTGCAAACATATTAAGCAGCATGACTATTTTTAACATTGCCTCTGCAATATTCTGGTCTCTTGTATACATATACACACACAATATGATATTTAATATTCTAGTCAAGTATGGGGGGGAAAATCCAGTCACATTCCAACAAATGTAAACATTAAAAGTCATTTTAAAAAACACAAATTTTACAAATAGCCATATCAAGAGACCAAAATATGGCAGAGGCTTTTTTAATGCTTTAATACATTTAAATTATAAATTGATGCATTTAGCAGATGCTTAAAAGCGACTTACAGTGCATTCAGGCTATACATTTTTTACCAGTATGTGTGTTCCCTGGGAATCGAACCCAAGACCTTTTGCGCTGCTAACACAATGCTCTACCACTGAGCCACATTTATGTGTCCTATATTAAAGATTTGCATTTGTTTGCTGTATCAGAAGCAATAGCTACAACTGACTGGGTTTTGTTTTCCATACTTGACTAGAATATTGATTCAATATTAAGTATGGAAAATATTATTGAATCTTGTATTGCATATACAGGGCCACCACACCACACTGTTACGGCCCATTAAATAAGCTCCGTCCCTTTGCACTTGGCACATTTCGAGTACTTAATGCACTCTAATCCGACATTGACCATGTGATGAAAGCCATTGTTTGAGCACTTTCACCCCCCGCTGTCAGCGGGTCCGGGACGCCCGGATTTACCGCCGATTCTCTTTTGTTTCGCATCCCCGCTCGCTTCATTTCAAGTGGCGACTGTACCGTCTCTTATTATCATTTTAACATGAAATACTCACCAGTTATGTATGAGGAGACTCTTTGAAAGCTTAAAGGGATTGGAGGGGCATCCAGCTTCCAGTCATAACAGCTTTTCATATGCAAACGTACGAGCTCAGCTTCGACCTCTGAGGGTTTGGGGCCCAAGCCGGAAGGCTCAGATCTCCTCCGTGCTGTTTTAATGATTATTGTGGAGGCTTTCTTACAATCTTTATCTGCAGTTGCCATATCAGCGCTTTTGAAATCCCCGTCTGAGAGGGAAAGGTGAGGGTGTGTGGAATTGTGCCCAGAGGATCATTAAAACAGGCATCAAACAAACAGCTAATTTCTTCACTATGAGAGAAGCCGCAGTCATTGATTTTTCTCAGGGCCAATGGCTTTTCATTGCCTATACGAAACACATTTAGCTCGTTTTACAAAGCGCAGTATAAAAATGCACAATTTACTTTAAATATGGTCAATCAGATCTACACAAACCACAAAAACTGTGCAACCTAATGTAGTTAAACACAACTAATTTCAATTCATTACAGGCTAACTATATCATAGTTTTCCCATTTATTTCTAAAATACATTTCTGAAATTTAGATATACCCAGCAAACAATTTTTGGAACTTTCTAGGAAGGTTAGTTTTTGGTTGCAAAAAAAGAACCAACAGAGAACGTTCTTTATTTGGTTCCCAAAAACATTAGCAAATGGACCCTTTTCACATTTCCGGGTTTCTCAGCAGCAGAAGTCGTCATAGTTGGGTTAACTTCAAGAGCTGTGAATGGGAAAGTACCACAAATATATTTTTTTGCATTCCCATTTGCTCAAATAGCAAAAGAAAAACTCCACGTGTGTTTTCATGACTTTCAAAAAAAGGAAAAAAATTGAGAGACTGATAACGGCAGTCAGAAGAGAGAAGGTTATAACATAGATGCTGCATTAGAAACACCTTCGCATTAGCATTAACTAGATTTTTTATATAATACAAAGTTATAAATGTACATACATTTAAAAAAAATATATATATAAATATAAAAAAACTTGAGGATTTACCATGGTGATGACCGTTAAACACGTCATCAGAGTCTTGTGAAAAGGGTCCATGTGAACACTGCGGTTGCCAGTCAAATGCAAAATTGTCTATCTTTCTGGTTTTAGCTGCCATCATAACAGAAACTGCACTTGCTGAAATCACAAATGACTTGCTTCTCGCACCAGACTGCATCTCAGTACTATTTTTACTTGATCTTAGTGCTGCATTCGACATCGACACTATAGATCATGACATACTCATAGTTCGATTACAAAATTATAGAGGTGTTCAGACAGGCTTTAGGATAGATCCTACATGTCTGACCGTTACCACTTGTTTATTTAAATGGGGAATCATCTCAATTAACACCAGTAAAGTATGAAGTACTGCAAGGATCTGTCTTAGGCCCTCTGCTATTTACAATATACATGTCACCCCTTGGTAATATTATTAAAAAATAAGAACTGAACTGTACATTTCTGCCATATGGACATCACCTTGACACAGTCACCACTGATAAACTACTCCTAAACATAATGTAGAAACTTTTAAATTTTTTGTAAAGCTGTTTTGTAATTATACGTATCGTGAAAAGCGATATACAAATAAACGACTTGAATTGAACGGAAATGCAGTTTCTAGGTGGTTGCATACCGAGTAAAGTCCCTGCAATGTTCTGGTCTCTAGCATCGGCCCCTGTATATGCAATGCAATACAATATTTAATATTCTAGTCAAGTATGGGAAAAAAAATCCAGTCCCATTATGTAGCTATTGATTTTGATACAGCAAACAAATGCAAATGATTGCAAACGATTGTTGCAAATGCAATATACAGTAGGTCACACAAAGCATTAAAAGTAACTATAAAAAGTACAAATAGCCATATCTAGAGAGACCAACTGGGGATGTTAAGCGAAAAGTTATGTGTTTGCTGGGTATAAATGCAATATGATGCTGTGTGCAAATTTCAGCTATACTTATATTCTGCAGTATTTATTAATCCAGTTTATTACTTTTGGACCCTCATAATTGAATGGTAGTTTATGGAGGTATATGACTCAATAAAATGATATAACCAGTGCAGCGTTTCTATTTTGCCACGCCTTTAAAAGAAAAAAGAAAAAAAAAAACACTATAATGCGAATACTCATTGTGCTCATTCAAACTGCTGTAATGACCTTATTTTCTTACAATGCTTATGAAGACATTATTTTCAAGGCACAATTTAACTTTTTTTTACAATCTGAACATATTTCCCACTGTAAAATATCTAATGCATTACATGTTTAAATTGTGTAAAAATGGTCATAGACATTCATGCCACCAATCTCAAAAGATCATGCATGACCCAGACAGTAAAAAACATCTTCCTATAAAAGCATCCTGACACACTGCATTAGTTTAAATACAGAAACCAACGCTAGAGTACGTGAACATGTTAAAGGGACAGTTGGCCAAAAATGTAAATTACGGTCAACATTTACTCACCCTCAAGTAAATAAATAATGACAGAGCTTTCATTTTTGGTTGAACGAACCCACACAGAACTCAAACCAGCCGACACAGAAAAACATGACAAGCTGAAAAATAGTATGTGCCAAAACCTCAGAGAAATTGCAATCCACGCCAAAAACAGAACATACATGAACTGAAAACCACCTCAAGTGGAATGTGGTAGGAACATTGAACACATTAGCTATCAAAAGTCTCATATCAGTAGATTCAGTACGGCAGTATTTTATGGCTGTCATCACATCCACAGCAAACTGCACTCATTTATACACATGAAATAAATCTGGCAAATAATGAAATCTCAGCATGGGAAAATGTTGAGGTTGAAGGAAGAGTTCATCCATAAATGAAAGTTCACACCAATGATTACAGCTATAACTAAAAAGTTTTGATATAATATAGTAATAATTTTTAGTGTGAATAGATCATTCATTACTCACCCTCATGATGCTCCCGTTTTCTTGTGTTCTTTACTTTTTTAACTATATTCTGTCTAATCCTGTTCATGGAGAGCCACTTTCATACAGAGATTTGGTACAAGCCTAATTAAACACACCTGAATGAGTTTAATTAAAGTGTTTAAAGTCATTAAAAACATCTAGGCAGGTGTGATGGAGCTAAATCCTGCAACAAAGTGACCCTCCAGAAGAATTGGATACACATTTTATGTAACAAAAGGGGACTGGGTCAGTTGTGCTCCAAAATGACAAAAGAGCACCAAGGGAAGATTTACAGAGAGCAGAGATGCCCTAAATTGACCTGTGATGACCTTTGATTTGGCCCGTCATGCCATATATCACAAGAGGGTCTTTATTTCTAATTGATATTTTTGTTTTAGCATTTTTTTAAAAATATTTAGTTTTTTTACACTGAAAAGTAACAGTGAATTTTCCTGAAAAATAAAAAAAAAGATATATACATTTTTAAATTAAAAAAATGACATTTACATTTTTTTATTTTTATTTGATGCATTATAATACAGTTGGATTTAGTCTGCGCCAATAGCCTCGTGGGCATCGTGCTGACATGTAGCGCCACTGCGCTTTGGGCATCCCGAGTTCGAGTCCCAGCTTGCGGACCTTTCCTGCCACTGCCCCCTCTCTTTCTCCCACTTCACTTCCTGTCTAAATACTGTCCTATCCGAATAAAAAGGGGAAAAATGCCAAAGATAAAATCTTAAAAAAATAATTTAGTTGGATTTAATAGACCAATATATTACAGGTGCATCTCAATAAATTAGAATGTCGTGGAAAAGTTCATTTATTTCAGTAATTCAACTCAAATTGTGAAACTCGTGTATTAAATTAATTCAATGCACACAGACTGAAGTAGTTTAAGTTTTAATACATAATTTAATATACCAATATAATATAGCTAGGATATAATGCATTTACTTTTGGCCCACAGCCCTCAATGAAGTTTGATTTTTGGACATTCGTATTAAAATGTTTGGGTAGAGAGTAACGACTTAAATTTGGGTCTGTTTCTCACACAAAGCTGTTTTATGACTTCAGAGCAATTGGTATATAGTGGATGAGTCATCAGCACTATTGTTCTAATACTTCTGTGGTGTGTTTTTGTCTTTTTGGAGCTTGGCAGACTTCATTGTACTTTAAATATTTCAGCTTTTTTCTTCTCTGCATTTCTCCTCTTCTCTAGCTTGCTTCTAAATAGTCTAATAAACCTGCTGGTGTTGCAAATTACGAATATTGGCTCAGTGATAACATTTCTTTTGTTCCTCTTTGTAATTTGCTTTGGATAAAAGTGCAGCTAAATGCATAATGTTCCATTAAAGAAAGAGTCATATGGGCTTGGAACAACACGATGGTGAGTAAATGATGAAATGATTTTCATTTTTGACTAAACCATCCATGAGCCCGATATCAAAACGGCTGATGACGTGAGAAGTTGTAGGAGTGAACATTACACATCTTGCAGCAACACAATCATACAAGATCTCATTCAAAAAAAGTATACACAAATGGTTCTCAATCAGATCCATAAATAAATGTAAGAAAAATGTTTTGAACTTGTGTCCTGCACATGTCAGTCAGGGTCTTTGACCTGCAGTGTCACAGAAAGTGTCCGTCACTCCTTTTTCCCAAAGAACTTCCTGAAGACGGATTTGTTGGGGGGTCGCGGGAGGCTCATGTAGCTCCTCATGGGCAGATCGGAGAAGGACTCCTGCCGGACGCTGTTTGGCGAGGCCGTCGCGGTGCTTTTACAGACTGACGGCATCTCACCATCTCCGATGAACAGAGTCACAGAGTAGCTGGAGCTGCTGTCCTGGCCTTTGCCTGAAGGAGGCGCTACAGGCTTGATCCTCTGATATGTGGCTGTAGAGAGAGATAAAAAAAAAAAACATTAAGTACTAAATTTTTTAAAGGAATAATTACACAATTTTTCTTTCATGTTTTAATTTCAATAGTAAACCTCTGTTGCCAAAAAACTAAAAATTTGTTTAATTTTCATCTGATTACATTTTAATTATATTGTTAATGTTTCATGTCTTAATTTGATTACTACAGTTAACCATAAGTTTAATTGATTAGTCATGCTTTTTGATTATTAAAATTTAATTAAACCATTAAAATTTAATCCAGAAAAATTCTGGAAAACAGAGAATTTAAGAAAAATAAAATGTATTTTATAGGGCCATCATTTATTTATTTTTTTGTTAAACTTAAATAAATTGTTGAATTGTATAGGTTTCATGATTTCAATTAATTACATGCTTTTTGGTTACTAATATTTTAATTTAACCATTAAAACGGAATCCAGAAAAATGTAAATGGAAAAAATGGAATTTGGGAAAAAAATAAAAATAAAACGTATTCCATATGGCCCTAAAATGTTTTTTTTTTTTTTGTTAAACGTTTAATAAATTGTTGTTCAATTGTACAAGTTTCATAATGTCATGATTTTTGACTCAAACTGAATTTAACCAGTAAAACACAGCCCAGAAATATTAAAACAGAAAAAAAATTACAACCGAATTTTGAAAAATAAAACCGATTTCATAAGGCCCTATTTAAGTTTAAGTACAGCTGAATTCAGTCCTAATTGGATGTGGCAAATGTGGCTCGGATGTACCTGAGGTAAAGGAGTGTGAGCGTCTCTTTTCGCTGGTCCAGCCCTGAATGGTGGACATAGAGGACGGTTTCTGTCTCAGAGACTCACCATGAGAGTCGAACTCATCCTCTACAGAGAGAAAAAAACCAGAAAATGAATCATTCAACCTCTGCAGTACAAGGGCAGACAGCATAAGTGAGTAACAAAGTACTCGAGGTGAGAAATAATGTGACCAAGGTGGAAATGACCAAATCCAGAGTGCTTCTCCAGAAATAGAAAGCCGCTGACAGCAAACAGATGTGACCATGCCTCATAATGTCTGCGTGAAGCTCCGATCAGCACCAGAGTACTCTACTGCCCTCTTTTGGATGTCCAAAACATTTATCTTGCATATTATTTATTTATTACTTGCATTAGTTGCCTGTGTTGAGAAAGCTACTCTGAAACTGTCAAAATGAAAGCTAAATTTATCTCAAGTATATGATTTTTAATCCACTATAATTGCATACTTAAGATAAAATATATATTTATAGATTGTTTTTAAGGCAAAATACTGATTAAGAAAATTATTATCATCATTTTATTTATTTTTTGTAGTGCTATTTAAAGTAATGCAACTACAGTCAAGCTACTAGCTAACAATTTATACATATTATAAATGAAATACTCAGAGCTATGAGGGTTTATAAAATACGACTAAAACCTTGAGTAATTTATTTAAATGACCTTAATTTATATAAATGAGACATAATAGTAATGAACAGAAGCATTACACTACTGCAAAATGCACGGCATTGTGTATACATATATATTTTTTACATTTATATATAAAATTTTGATCAATTATGAAATGAACTTATGCTCACCGAAGCTACATTTATTGAATCAAATAAATTAAAGATTATTACAATTTAAAATAACTGTTTTGTATTGAAATATATTTCAAATGATAATTTGTTGTTATTTTTTCTTAGTTCACTGAACTGTATTAGTCACACAGTTTCTTACCACAATGACCCGCATCTGAGAACGAGGGGAGCAACGGATCCTGATGCCTTTGGTGGATCTGCAGAGCGTCACTGGTGTGAACTATGATCTCTTTGGTTCGGCCTGAGGCGGGCTGACTCTGTGCTAAAACGGTGGTGGTGACATAATTTCTCATGGAGCAGTGACATTTATCTCCACACTGACAGCCGGTGATAGCAGGAGAATGTCTAGGGAGCGTCGCTGAAGCTGAAGACCCATGACATGTTGATCTGTTCACTACAGAATCACTAGACACTGTAGAGATAAGAGGATTTCATGTGAATATAACTGTGGTCATTTAATGCAGCATTGAAAGCTTGTTAACAACAGACAGACAGATAGTTAATGGTATAATACCAGTGTGTGCTTGGATTCTGAGGATCCATTTCTTCATCATAAATCGGGACGATGCACTGAGGAGATACTCAGATCCATCCCGCAATCTGAGAGAAAAGTGAAGTCCTTCAACTGAATATGTGCAGGTGAAAGTGATTTAAAAACAACTACTTCCATCTCTAACTAAGATAAACATGAGACGCCCTTTAGTTGTGCGACATTTACCTCAAGCAGCAGCAGTTGGGTTTTTTGGTGTACTCTGGCGACGGTTCACACACCGCTCCGATTAGATTCAGAGGAAGGCTGGTCACACAGCTCTATGGGGTACAAATATAGAGTAATTTTGGCTAAACTCATACCCTTAGATGCTTTACAGCTGCCATTAAACGTAATTCAATCACAATTTAATCACAGTTCAACCTTGCAATGTAAATAATGATGTCCTTTTGCAATAAAGGAACACAAAGTTTTCTACTTGGTTGCAAAGCCAGAACATGAAGTCTTCAAGCTTACCTTGAGTGTATCTTTCCTGTCCTGATAGAAACATATTGTTTGTTTGTATAGCACAGCATGATAGGAGTTCCACGCCCTGCATGGTGCCTGAAATAGTACATTTTGTTGGTTACATAAAGACCAACCGAAATGCAAACTAATTTGACATCTACCACAGTAGCCTGCAGGTAAGAGCATTAGGCATGAGACACAAAATGCTAATTTGTTGTGGTTGGGGTCAAGAAAATATCTGTAATTGTGATATTTACCTTCTTTCCCCCCAGTTGTAGTTTGTGTTTCCTCTCCAGTGTACCTTCCATAGATGGCAGTTCCAGTTCTTGTCTTCCACTCTGAAACAGAAAGGTCATATTTGTTGTGGTTGGGGTCAAGAAAATATCTGTGATATTTACCTTCTTTCCACCCAGTTGTAGTTTGTGTTTCCTCTCCAGTGTACCTTCCATAGATGGCAGTTCCAGTTCTTGTCTTCCACTCTGAAAAACAATGGTCAAAGATTAGAATTAACAATCTTTGAATGATGAGATACAATAATTATTTCTCGATATTCTGAAGAACTCTTAAGCATATACTCTCTGTTCTTGTATATGGTCTGCAATTATACTTTGGGTACCTGGATATCATTGTCAGTGGTACCATCCAATCCCATATGAACAGATAGGAGGCTCATGGATTGGTCCTGTGGAGAGAGAACACATATCAATGCATTAATTGCCATGACAAAAACAGATTACACATGCACTAATCAGAACTACAATAATGGGCAAAATGATATGAGATATGCTGGCCACAACTTAATTTGAGGGCAAAGATTTCCAAATAAAACCCTCAATTGTCCTCAATCCTGGTCCTAGAGGGCCAAAGTCTTGCAGAGTTTAGCTCCAAATTGACCCAACACACCTCCCCGGAAGTTTCTAGTACGCCTAGTAAAACCAAGTATGCCTAGTAAAACCTTGATTAGCTAGTTCAGGTGTGTTCAATTGGGGTTTGCGCTAAACTCTACAGGACAGTGGCCCTCCAGGAGTAGGACTTAAACCAGTGGTCCTAGAGGGCCAAAGTCTTGCAGAGTTTAGCTCCAAAATGACCCAACACACGTCCCCGGAAGTTTCTAGTACGCCTAGTAAAACCTAGTATGCCTAGTAAAACCTTGATTAGCTAGTTCAGGTGTGTTCAATTGGGGTTTGCGCTAAACTCTACAGGACAGTGGCCCTCCAGGAGTAGGACTTAAACCAGGGGACTTAAACCACAAGGCCCCACCGTCCTGCAGAGTTTAGCTTTGACTTGCCTCAACACACCTGCCTGGAAGTTTCTAGTAATCGTGAAGACCTTGAGGTCCTTGGTTCAGGTGTGTGAGATTGAAGCTAAACTCTACTGGACATTGGCCTTCCAAGAGCAGGACTTAAGCCAGGGGTGTCCAAACTCAGTCCTGGAAGGCCACCATCCTGCAGAGTTTAGCTTCAACTTGCCTCAACACACCTGCCTGAAAGTTTCTAGTATGCCTAATAAGACCTTGATTTGCTAGTTCAGGTGTGTTTAACTGGGGTTGGAGCTAAACTCTACAGGACAGTGGCCCTCCAGGAGTAGGGTTGGACACTCGACTAAAACTTGTAGGTTCTTCTACAATTACCCCATCGACTTCGGTCAGAAATCTTGGTGTAATCTTCGATGACCAGCTGACCTTCAAAGACCACATTGCAAAGACTGCCCGATCTTGCAGTTTGCATTGCACAACATCAGGCCCTTTCTAACGGAGCATGCTGCACAACTTCTTGTCCATGTAAATGTAAAACAGTCCTAAACAACATCTAACAAGGTTTGACTGTCAACTTATAGACCTCACCTTCAGAAAACCTGTTTCCTTCTCCTCCTCCTCCTCCTCTCTATAATGGTAGATATACTTTTGCTGGTCCTGTATTTCAGGTAGTTTCACCATATCTGAAGCAGTTTCATTAACAGCCACCTGTTTGTAAACCTGTTCCTGTTGTGTGAACGCAGCCCAAGACCCCAAGGTATGGACGCTAGGACATACATGAATCTCTGCCATAGTTGAGCAGTGGTTGGCTATACCTTGGATTGCATCTTCTGAAGGACTTACATAGTGGTTCTCCTTGTTCTCAAGTTGAGTTGCATTTGCGTTCCAACTAACCACCTCTTCTTTGGGCACTATACTGATCCCAGACAGATGTTTCTGTTGAATATTGGTCAGATCACTGAGTGATGAGGGATGATTCTCCTCAAATGAGATGTCTTCAACAACTGGAGAAGGTGGAGGAGGAAATTCATCTTCAGTAAATGAAACCGTGTCAATGCTGATCTTTTTGGAGTCTTTACAATCAATCTTAAGGGTTACTTCACCTGGAGAAATTTGTTTGCGCTCTTCTTTTTGCATTGGACGAGAGCGGACAGTTTTAAAGGTGCTCAGAGCTGTCGAACGATCAACCTGAGAGTCCTGGTGATGAGAGTCTGTCTTCTTTTGCTCAGGAGGGCCAATTGTGATGACATCTTGAATGCTAGGGATAAGGCTCATATCCTTGGGCAGGTCGAAGCTTAACACAGAACCCAAGGACAGAAATCTGCAGTGGTTCTTCACATGTCCTTGGGTGGCAACCTCTAAGGTGCTGTGAACTGGAGATCCAACCTCTCCAGGACATTCTGCATCTATGTCTTTCACTAAAGGGTTCTTTATGTAGTCCAAGACCTGAGTCCCATCGCTGTTTGGTTTCCTTGCATCTTTCCGCTTCTTCCTTTCCTTCAGGGGCCAAGTATGTGTATCGTATGTCACCGGTTCACGTACAGGTGGCAAATCAGCCTCCTCTGACAGATCCTCTCCCATGATCTTCTGAATGGTCTGTCTACGGTCATCTTTCTTCTTCTTGGCCTTCTTGCCCTTCCTCTTAAGGCTGCTAAAGATTGAGATGTTGCCATTCTTTGGCAGGAGGTTGTTGGCCTGCTGAAGTGTGTCTTCGATGGATGACGAGGAGTATGGGGAGGTGCAAGGAGAGGAGAGGGCATACAGGGAGGTCCTGGGAGAGGAGGAGGAGGGCCTTGGAGCTTTGTCTTGGGGAAGCGCCATACTCTCATACACTGCCGTGTTGTTTTCCGTAACATGCAAGTATGTACTTACCTAAAACACAAGGAAAAGATTGTTTTAGAGGGTTATCACTTTTTTTCTTCCATGCATAAATTGGATTGCATGCATAAGTATCACACTTCAACACAAAGTTCACCCTTCAAAGATACATCATGCTAATTATCTGATGTGCAGTGCTCCGGAGCATAATAATTAAAATACTAAGTAAAATGCCTCAAATTTGAAGTACAATCTAGGATGTCATTTTTCTATCAATTCTTCAATAGGTAGATCTTGTCTTTCATAAAGCCCGAGTTCAGGGATCTTGGGCCTAAAAAGGTTGGTGACCACTGGTCTAGATGGTTGTGCAATGGTGTTCTGAGTGGTTGCTTACATCAACAAGCCACACCAAACCTTAGCAAACACCACTAATGCAAAAACATTAGGTTTACATGAGAACAACATGAACAAAAGAACACTAGCATGACTACACAAGCACACTTGATTTTTTTTTTTTAAACTCTGGGCTTAATAAGAATCATCTGCTCTTAAACATGTCGTCATACACAGCTGTAATGGCTTGACCTTTCACCCTGTGACTAATCTTGTGCTGCTCTGGCAGCCCCAGACCATAAATCACACAGGGCAGTCAGGAGGGCCTTCTAGAAAGTTCACAACAAATTTTCCAGCACCCCCCGCTCCTGCTGGGAGCCATTTCAAAACTCAGCGATCATGGGAAGCGAAGGGTGAGGTCACATCTCAGCACCGCGCTGCTGTCATGAGTGAGTTTACATAAGAGTGAAAAACCCCACTGCATGCATCTTATCTCTCTTATCACCTGCTTCCTTTGTCATCGTCTTTCTCCATCCATGCATATCTGATTAAAACAACTGATTTGCAGCAAATCTTTAGATCTAATAAAAACCTCTGGCCTCTGCTGGTTTCTGACTCATTTGTCATGATGGAGCAAGAGTTTAAAGAGTAAAAAGTAGTGCTAAAGATTTTTCCATTCGACTCAGTCTAATTAATTTAAATTTAACTCAAATTAAATGAATTTAATCCATTAGTAGACTAATCACGTTTATATCAGTTTAATTAGTTAAATAATAGGCTTTAATATATAGCCTATTCCATGCTCAAGCGCCCACAAAATGCTTGTCGCAAAGCAAAAATGAACTATAATGACTATAAAAATAGCAAGGAGATATTTTAATAATTTATTAGTCAGTGTCGGCTGCAAAGATGAAGTTGACAGTGCTGACTTGCCATTTAGTACAGTGGATGCGCCTTCAGAGAAAAATGCAACTGTCATATGGATTACATAATTAGAGAGCATTTGGTTTTTATTTGAATTGGTTCATTTAAAAGTAGACATTTCAAGCTTTCTATAGATATATTTCTCATGTCTGTGAGGGAAGTAGCCTATAACACTGAGTTTCGGTTCATTTTTGTGATGCTCTCCAGTTCATGGAGACACATCTTGGTTGTTTTCTTTATTTTACAAAAGCACAACGTTTTGTTGATATTGTGAGTGTACACAAATAAAAGTAGACACTTTACAGTTTCAAATGATGTATTATTACTCTTATCTGTATGAGCAAAATGACAGCGTTTTTTAAGATGTTTTTGCTGTTATCAGGAGAAAATGCAAGTTGCTGGAGCCTCCATGTTATACAGTGTGCACTAATAGCTTCCACACTTCACACAAACACTTGGATATGCGCCTAATACAGCACATTTATCTAGGTTAACATTAGAGCGGCCATGTAAAGTTGCTACTACTTACATGTTTCAATTACAAATGAAAAGCCATATTTGAGGGTGATGAATGATAGGCGAACATTTGGATTTCCTGCCTGATATACTGTAATTGCCACAAGGATATACATTATACATTTTTTTTTTTGTAAATAACTGACATTTTTGTTGACTAAGCCTCTTCTCGTCGACTATTATGGGGGGCAGCGCTGGTAAAAAGACTAAAAGTTTGCTCTGTTCCTCATGCAAAGCTATTGCATGGGTGCAAAAGACTCAATGCATACATGTTTCAATCATCATTTCTGAATTTGTGCGATTATACGCTCTGATCTTTAGGGTCTCGTTTTTGTTATCAGTGGCCTTTATATGTTCTGAAAGCTGCGAGGGCACAAAATAAAAAATCCTGCTGAGAGATATAAAAATGCATTTGAAATTGAACAATATGACAGCAGCTAGACATTTTCCCACAAGCCCTACAAACTCCTGATGTTTTCAAAAATATATACTGGATTACATGAGAGCTGCAAACCTACAGCAATGGGCAACATTTCAAAAATAACTTCTAACACTGACCGAAGTTTTCATTTCACAGACCCTAATAGCATAATAAAAGTCCCAAGGATATTGCAAAACCATTTAAGGCTACTATATGCTACTATATTTAAGCCCCTGTAACCGTTCCAAGAAACACACTTTTTATTTTTGCTGCAATTACTTTCAAAATGTTCCCAAAGACAGTTTTGTAAACAACCCGAATGCTTGAAATGAGGCTTTATATGAGTCTTGGAAGAGTTTCTCGTCCCGGTTTCTAATACTTCCCATATACTGGCAGCTCAAAATGAGATCATTGGAAGTGGCTATTTCCTCCGTCATCTTCTCATTACCTGCCCATACCTGTTTGCAATCTCCTCTAAACCGCAGTGACCTCTCTTCCATCAAAGTTTCTTTGGCTTTGTTGCCTTTCCAACCACTGCACAAATAAATGATCAAGCCAGTGGCGATATTTCAGAATAGCATACTATTATACTATGAATCTAAGATGTACTGCAATGCTTCGGTAATCAAAAAAATATGATAAGATGTTTCGAGATCATGATGTTAGTCAGTCCATCACACTACAGTCCTCATGCACACACACAAGCAGAGCTGGGTAGATTACTTACAAATTGTAGTCCGTTACTAATGCCAAATTACATGACAAAAATTGTATTTAGTAATGTAATCCATTACATTACACATTTTAGGTAATATAATCAGACTACTTTTTGATTACTTTTTAGATTACTTTTGTAGGGAAGCCCATTTCCGCCACTAAATAAAAAATAAAAAAGGCAATTGTGACTTTTAATCTCACAATTCTGACTTTTTTTTCCCCTCACAATTGCGAGATATAAACTCACAATTCTGACTGTTTTGTGTAACAATTCAAAAAAAGTCAGAATTGTGGGATATAAACTCAGAATTGCGAGAAAAAAAAAATCTGAATTGCAAGATTTAACCTCGCAATTCTGAATTTCTTGCAATTCTGACTTTATATCTCACAATTCTGAATTAATTTAATTTATTGCCAATTACCTTTTTTTTTTGTAAATTTTTTTTCAGTGGCAGAAACGGGCTTCCATATTGACCTAACTTGTTTATCACATTGATTTAAATAGGATAATCTTGTAATATATTGATATAAAATGCAAAGAGAAAGAAAATATATTCCACTCTTTGTTATTAACAACATAAAGTGCAGTCAACATTACGTCAAGGTTTCCCAAACTGGGGTTCGTGAAGGAACTAATAATAATTAGAAAAGTGCTAATAATTAGAAAAGCTAATAATTAATTAAATCATAAAAATGTCCAATTAAAATCAATAATTTTAAAATAATTGCGTTTGAACGACAAAAGCCTTCCAAAGACATAGTAAAACATAGTTAAATAACTCATAGTGACAATTAAAAAAAAAGTTCAACCAGTAGTTGATGCAATGTTGGGATGTTGAGAAAAAAAACAAAATATTGAAAATCCAGTAGTCAAACGTGTGGCCTCTCAGTTTTCGGTGCAATTATAGTCAGCTGACTAATGACTGGTCTTTGTGTGAATGTCCACTATACTGGAAACTTTTAGCGGCAGGATATTTCAGAAAGGAACATTTAAAAGATGATAAAAATATGAATAATTTATTGCTATTGTGTAAATAATATGTAATCATGTAACCAATAAAAATGTAACTGTAGTCTGATTACAAGTATTTTACAATGTAGTATAATCTAACTACAAGCACTTCATTTTTGGAATCTGATTACGTAATCCAGGTCACATGTAATCAGTTACTACCCAGCACTGCATACAATTACCATGTTTGTTTACTCGTGCAGGGCCACCGACCAACTATATTTACCTCTTCTGCACTGTGTCGATAAATCTTTGTCTTTCGCTTTAAACTACCAAAAAGCCCCTGGCAGCACTTCCAAAAGCCTTTACAGACAGAAGAGTGAGACTCAGCAGGCTGAAGGGGAACGTAGAACAAAATAAAACAGAGAAGGGTGTTTTTGAGGAAAGAGAAGGAAATGTGAGGAGCCTGAGAGGGATATCAAACACAGAGCAGCATATAAGTGCAATAGGGTTTGACTGTGTGTGATTGTGATGTTTAATCATTCTCACCCTGTGCACAGGTTCGGGCACCAGCACACCACCTTCCCTGCCAGGCGCCTGTACCTGGATTTGTGTGTCTCCAGAGTTACTGAAGCTGAGGATGAGGTTGACTGTGCCTCCTAAAGCTGAGGGACTGGGTTCCTTTAGCACCAGGTATGGTGAATCCGGCCTCTCTAAATGACCGCTGTCATCGCTTCCTTTAGGACTGACACTTTGCATCACCTCATATCCATAACTGTGCTGCAAACCATCCTCCGTGTCACCAGGGGGAGCACTTGTGAGGCTTTCTGTTGTCTTCTGAGAGACCTCGGGTGAGGTTTCCACCTGAAAAATGGCAGAATTAGAATGCCTTAGGAGGAGACTGCATCTTTGGGTCAATCTCATGAAAACTCTCCAGGAACTCAGTCACATTTCGTAAACAAAAGATAAATAAAAAAAAAAAAGTTAAATTTATTTTGTTATTTTGGGTTGATCTCATGAAATCTGTCAAGGATTTCAGGACCATTAAGACTGTTTGCATTGTGACACTTTAATGCAAAAATGCTATATTATTAAATAGTGAAGTATTTAAACATTTAGTAGCATTTAATACATTTAATGTAGGCTGGTGCAAAAAAATCTATATTCATAAAATATTGAAGTATTTCTACATTTAGTAGCATTTGATACATTTGGTATAAGCTGATGCAAAAAAAATACTATATTAATAAAGTGAAATACTTCTACATTTAGTAGCATTTGCTTCTAAATTTGCTCACTAAATTGTATTTATTACTAAATTTTATTTTAATATATTCTGATGTAAATTGAAAAATTATTGCTAATATTGATTGATTGATACTGATATTATTTAAGACAAATAAGCACATTTCCCATCTTCAAATTAGCTGTAATGGGAAAAAAACTATATTAATAAAACGATAAAGATTGTTTATAGCATTTGAGAATTTGAATCATTGCATTACAGTATTTTACTTCAACAATCAATGAGAATAATTTGAATGATTCCAATTGATTTTGATATCAATTACTTATTATCTATTTATTTATTATTTATTTTACACACACACACACACACACACACACTTTTTGATTGATAAACTTCATTTATCCCCAGAAGGGAAATTTACAAATGAATGGTTCTACCGGTGTTTGTGGGCTGCAGACCATGGCCTCGGAGTAAATAGCGTCAGTTTGAGCTTCTTCAGCCTTCTGTCTGCTCAACAGCTGATCCTTCTGAGCCCTCCAGTGGACCAGGATCCATCCCAGCATGCTCCTCAGCTCCTCCATCCTCTCTCTGATCTGCACAAGACAAAGAGCAATGGAAAAAGACCCCAAACCATTTTAACTTTATTTCATCCAGAAAAAAACTTGAGGTTGTTCTTTCATAGGAGACTTAGGGAGAGTGTAGAGTTACAAAATCTATTTGTATATCAGTTGAGCAATGCAACTGAAGCAGATTTTAAAGAAAGCTTATATACCATTGTGTTGAGGTGATGCTCGTCATCAAAGAGGTTTTTTCCAGCCACGGCGAGCTGATCAAACTCCTCGAACTTCTGCTCTATCTGCCGATCCAGAACCTCAACCAGAGGCTCCTGGTTCTCTCGGCTTTGACGCAGAGCGCTTTCTGAGAAAATGCAGGAGTGGGTGTCTTCTGTCCAAGAGCTGTGGGAGAGAAGATGAACAGCAGAGAGGTGAAGACAAGCGCTTCAGGCCAACACACACAGCTCGAGATGATGCTCACCAGACGTTTCTCCAAACACATGAAGAGAACACAATGTGAACAGACATATCCCATCAATAAATCAAACATTAGCTCTGCAAATTATATTCATAGAACATTCCTGTTGAGTCACACCAAAGCATGTCCATCTCACATTTCACCCTAAAATCAAATGAAAGAAGTACCATTATGAGTTTTTGCTTTATGCAACTATTTTCATGACAATTAAGCCCCAAATTTGCATTACTGCAACCCTAACCCTAATGCGCCCAGACATTTACATTTGTTTTTGTTCAGTATTTTTATTGTAAAAAAAAAAAACAATATTTACTCTTTAGTTTTTTTGTTCAATAATTAAAATTATTTTTTGTTTAGCATTATTTTAGCATTTTGAGTTTTTTTTCTTAAATCTGTTTTAATGCTATTAAATTCTCATTACTAAACTACAGTATTTTTAAATAAAAAATTCAAATCAATATTTATATATTATATAATTTATATATATTCAAAAAAGAGAGAAAAATATTAAGTATATAATAAGTTTTTAGTATTTATGGTAGCATTTATTCTATTCTTATTTAATTTATGTTGATTTAAAAAAATACTTGATTTTTTTTTATTAAAAAATTGCATAATTGAAATGTCTAGGCACATTACAATAATACAAATTTTGGAGGAAACTTGCTTAATTGTGATGAATAAAATAAAAAAAATTATATTTATAAATTACTATATATATATATATATGCACACACACACACACACACTCACATATATAAAATAGCATATATATTTATTTTATTATTATTTAACAATTTGTATTATATATATAGTAATATTTTTGTTTTTATTTTTAATTATTTTGTATTTTGTATTTATTATTAATGTGCATTAACACAATAATAAAAATGTAGGGAGAATTGTTTATCATGTTTATCATATATATCATGAAAATATCATAATGCAAAAAAGTCTGATGGTCCTAAAAACAGTTCTCTTTTATGTAAACTATGCATATTAATTATCATTCCTTTCTATTGGTTTTGGGGGTGAATTATGACCTGTACGTGTTCTTCTTATCTATCTTTAACAAAATGTGAAATAAAACAAGGTCTCATTTAATCGATTTATCACTGACTTACATCATTGCCAGGTAGTTCCTAAAGAAATGGCGCAGGTGTCCAAACTGCAGGAGTCTCTTCTTGTTTTTGGTCACACTTTTGCCGAGCTCGTCCCAGGCGTTCAGGCTGGTCTGAATCTCAGTCCCTACAGCGTTCATCCTCTCCGGACACACGTCTGACAAACAGCTCGCCAGACTCGCCATGGCCTCCACCTCCTCCTTCAAGACCCCGTATTCAGCCTGGAGGAAAAAACACATCTAGGTTTAAGTTCACAATTGCATACTACCATCCTACAAGTGCTATTTTTGCAGCATAAACCCCAGTTGTGCAAACTCTTATGGCTTCACACTTTCAGTGCTTTAAATCTGTTAAAGGAGCCATATGCATCGCTGACAGAGTTTCTGAAGCTAATTAAAAGCGTTAATAAGAATCAAGCCGCTGTGTTTCAGATCTGCGGCTGCAAAACAGAGATTGTCAGATGCTTTGTGCATGAGCGTCAAACTATTTTAGTATGAGCCATTAGGTCATTTCTTGGGCTTTGGGGTTTCCAGACAGATGTGTTCGCGTTTTGCACGCCATCGAGGTATTTTTGCATCGCAACGCACCCGCACAATGCTGCAGTCTCAAATGAATCAACCGACACATACAAATACACATCATAAACGCCAAAGACTCGCACACAATGGAGTCCTGTGTGGATAATAAAGGCACGTGTGGGCTCACTTCATTAACATCTATTGAACAAAACAAGGGTCTGGCTGAGCCTCAGTGGATGTCCAGCTTCAACCACAACAGGAAACAGATTCTAGAAACAATGTGCTAAACAAATTCATCACAAGAGATGGGAGAAAGACATTTCCATTAGATCAACACCAGGAGTTCACTGAGTCCCGGCAAACAAGATGCTTCCTGTTCTCAGAGCACTTTCGCTGGTAAATGCTTCGGACATGTTATTGTGTTGCGAAAACACTTGGTTGCTGTCTGGATTTGCTTTAAAAAAAAAAAAAAAAAAAAATTCTTTTTATACTGAAATTTTT